CTCTTAGGCCGTCCACATGGAAGTTTTTGTAAAAATATTACAAAAATACATTTTTTTATTATTTCAGCATAGCATCCACACAAAAGCAGTGTTTTAGCAGCCCCGACTGTGTATTTAAATAAAAATAAATGGTTCCAGATTGAAAGCAAAATCAAGAAACACCACCCTTGTGATTGAGTTGYATTGATGTTCAAGCTTTAAAGACGTGCTCCAAACCTTGATTCCCATTTTGGGTGTGTTAGTGGTGTGYRGATTGATACTGTAATATGATACTTCAATACTTCAGTGATTWCAGGTAATGTCCATCATYAACAGGAACACAGTGGAAAGTAAACATCTGAAATCTTGTCTAAACCCTGCGGTTGGTGAGCACTCTTCCGCCTGTGTAAGAGCACCTGCTCAGYCAGTCACTCAGTCTGTTGATGTGACTTCTTCAGTATTTTCATGTTAATATGTTTATGCAACATAAATTAAGATGCAAGTTAAAAWTTTTATATAGTTCTTTATAATAAACAACAACTTGTTTTAATGATTTTATTGCTTAAAACACCATTGTCACATATTTTGTATGATTGTGTCCTCTGGTTCTTCTGTTGTATTAGCTTGACTACATTGTAAATGAGGAAACAATATAACATGCGTCAAGTGTAAAAAAATAGTTGAAATATCGCATTTTCCTTATTTAGTTAGATTTCTGGGTGTAAAATCCTAGTAAAAAATTTGCACTAACATTTTATTGTTATTTACCTCACTGTGGTTACATTTTGCCAATTTTTAATAAATGTTAAATGTAAATGTTAAATATGCAGTCATTAAATCCTAAAYATAAATGTTATATTAAATCAAGCATGTTCAACTCCGGTACTCWAGGGCCGGTCTCCTGCAAGTTTTAGATTTGTCCCTGCTTCAACACAGCTGATTCAAATGGACAATTTACCTTCTCAGTTTGCCATCAAGGTCTGCAGAAGCCCACAAATTAGGCTCTTCTTAGGTTCAGCTGTGTTCAACCAGGGCAGCCCCTAAAACATGCAGGACACCGGCCCTTGAGGACCGACTTTGGACACCACTGCATTAAATCCTAAATGTAAAGGTTAAATCTTAAATGTTGAGATGAATGTTCTTGAATGTTCAGAATGGAACACAGCATTTGATGTTGGTGCTTGGCTCGATATGACGGCAACATCCTGAGAGAATAGCAACCGCTAACGCTGCTAACACCTCGTTAGAAGACATCAAACTTGCAGCTGCGGTTGGTGTTAGAGCTGCACTTCAAACTGCCAGACCACATGTACCATCCATACTGTTTTCAATAAACACATTTTGAATTTAGATTTTAAGGCCATCTTCAGCAGCGTTGGCAGCATAGGCAGTGGTTAGCCTTACCTAACCAGGATGATGTCATCATCCTGCGACATACATCCAATGCTAACTGCTGCTAACATTTWATTTTACACGTGGTGCCTCAAAACATCAATATATTTCTGAGTTTAAAATAAGTAAATAAATAAATGATTGATATCTTGTATTCTTTATGAAGTGACAATTTGAAATCCACAACTTGTTTTTTTTGTTGTGGTTGTTTTTGGATTTACCAGACACGTTAGGTGTATTTGCACAAAGTGGCAGCATCGGATCAGTACGGCCGATACCAGCTTGAGTTTCACTTGATATCAGAATTTGAAAGGAAATCATTGGTATCGAAATTCACTAGTTTTCGTGGCAGGACTACAGCTCCACTTACAGGGCTGGCATAGTTATTACAGCACTTTGGGTCACTTTCAGTGTTGCTGTATAGAATAATGACATTTCTACATTACTTCAGTTGCAAGAATATTTATAGAAAGSACAAATAAAATAACATATTTGGAAAAACTTGTTTCTGTGTAAACACTAAAATGTGTGTATTAATCTGAGGCTGAATCCTATTTCAMAAATTCTCCTTACTTCTTAGCTCTTCTCTTTTATATTCCTCTTACAACATAAATCCAACTTTAAATATGAAGTCTGTTGCATTAGTGAGGGGGTTTGACTCTTTAATTTATCAGTAAAATCAAGCATGTTCTAACATAAGAAACCATTTTACTGTTTATATTTAGCAGTTCATTCTCACATTAACCAGGATGGGTGCATTGTAAAATTATTCACAAGCGTTTTGTGCATCTGTCAGTCTAGCCAACAGAGTGGCAGCAGTTTGTTTGCTCTGTCTTCACTCCTGGAGGAGCTTCCACACAGACGGAGCTCAGCTTTTTTGCTTCGCTGCATATTAATCCTCAGCAGCTTGGTCTCAAACCTGCTGTGTTTGCTCACACCTGTTTGTGTGTGTGAGTGTTTGGACTTTATTGTAGGAACACAGAGAGGACTGGCAACCGATGAGATGTTTCCACTGATCTGCTCACACCTCTGATCTGATTGTGATGCTCGTCTTGTTTGCTCCAGGTGCCTCAAACGCCTCGGACACTGCACGGGTCAGTTCACCGACAACAAGGCAGGTGAATGTCTTTATTTGGACATTTCTAAAGGATCATTTATTACCTGAGTCTGAAACGTTTGTAAAGCTTTAGTTTTTTTTATTTTTCAGGTTTAATTGAGACAAATATTGCCAGAGAAACAGTTACTCATAATCCCCACACAAAAACATGCATGTTTTCTTTTACCTTTGCACGCTCTGCGGTGTGAAATAGACTTGGTCATGTCCCTGTAGTAGCCCTCCTTGCAGTAGTGACAGTGGCGTCCTGCTGTGTTGTGGCGACAGTTGAGGCAGACGCCGCCGCTCCTGCGGCCAGACAGCTTGTACAGCTCCATGTTGAAACGGCAGCGACGGGCGTGCAGGTTACAGTGGCACGCTGCGTGGAAACACAGACGAGACCTTTAAATGAAGAACTAAAACARCACGGCGTACTCAGCATCAACCCAATATAAGCTGGGAACTGTTTTATCATCAGCAAGGGCAACAGAGGAATTCACTTTTTAAGAGAATCTTTGTAGGTCACTTAAAAATTCCTTTACCTGTACAAAAATATTCTCAAAATAAGATGAAAAAGGTTTAAAAACTAGATATAATTAAAATTTTGCAGTGAATTGAAACAGTAGCTGTGGTCCAGACTGAGAGTAAGGACTCGCATATAAATATTCAGGTTCAAASGCTTTCATTTGACCAGCTGCTTGTGAATCTGACCTCTGAACCCTGCTGRTGTCAAACAGAAAACCTTTCTTCAGTCACACATCAAGAGATCTAAATCTTAAAGGCTTAATATCAGTTTGTGTTTGTCTTGTTCAAACAGATCCAGACATTTAAAACATGACTGGAACAAACAAAAAAGAAAAAGAGCTACGCTGCTTTGTTAGCCTGTTAGCACCTTTTATGGAACTTTGCGTTTTAAGGCCTGGTCTGGGTTAGTTTGCCATTATGGCCCCACTTCCAGCCTGATTACTAGAACCCAGAGACCTGGAGTCCTCTTCAGGCTGACGCTAGTTTGACGTTGTCTCAGCTGGTAGATTCAGCTGGTCCAAAATTATAGAAAGAAAAAAATTGATGTCATTCATTGTTGTGTCACAAATAAAATGACCTCATATTAGGGGTGGCTATATCATACATGTCATGTTGTATGGATTATCTGTAATTTACACAGATTTTTTTTTGTCATTTTGCTGGTATCCAGATGTACAGCAATCTCGCAGATTTTTTTCATGTTCTACATTTTTTTGTTTTGTTTTGTTTTTTCAAAAACTCAGATTCAAATTTATTTAACGTGTCAGAGCCTGTAGGACGTTAAAAAAAACAATAACATCAACAATCCATTTCCAACCCACTCTGCTGCTAGAARTAAGTTCTTCCATCCTCATTTCCTTCTGATATTGCTGCAGCCGACAGTCTGCCTGCACCACCCACCACCCCTGCGTGTGATTCATTCAGTTTTTTTTTTGCGAAAATTACGGACTTTTGAGGCTCAGTATAAAGATAAAYATCTGAAGGCTTCAACATGTATGGCATATCGATGAAGATAGTTTTAATATCAAGATACTCAGTATYAAATCAATACTAGCATGATGGCATTGATATTTTTGTTCACACTTTTATTTGCACAACTGGCATTTTTCACAAATAAAGTCAGTAGTGCCCACATGCAATGGAAGGTATTTTTAGTTGTTGACATACAGTATTTATATTTTTTGCTACATTGTTGCTTTTCTGTTATTGTTGAAATAGTGATTTTTTTAATAAGCAAATTGTGTAGTAGAAGTTCAATGGTGAATTATTTTATTATTTGAATAATACATTGTTTTATATTTTTGTAGTTAGCTAATAAAAAATCAAAAAAGTCTATTGTTTAATCCTAATTGATTAACTAAAGAAAAAAATTCAATGAACATGACATTTCAAGTAAAAAATATCAGCGATCTTTACTTGAAATCGAGTCAAAATCAGAGTTCCCAGTATCGCCCACATTTACCTGTTAGCTTTTAGTTCCTGTTAGCTCTTTTTATTAAGGTGAGCAGATTTCCACAATTAAATTTGGACATTTTCAGGTTGGAAATAAAAAAAGGTTATTTGCTCTCAAGATGACATGAAGAAACTGGGACAGTTCCAGAATCATTAATTGTTCCATAATATGTTAGTAGTCAGCAATCGAAAACAAGTAAAGTATCATTAGGAAAAAAAAATTGAATAGGTCCTCTGGACGGGTTCTTCTTTAATGAAACGTTTCGTCTCTCTTCCAAGAGACTTCTTC